CACACACACACACACACACACACACACACACACACACACACACACACCATGCGCGCGCGCACACACACACACACACACACACACACATACACGCACGCACACGCACACATGCACGCACACACATGCATGCACAGACACTCAACATTCACGAGTATATTTATGTGCACTCATTACACATAAAAGAAGGCATTAGATTATCTGAAGAAATGTGGCAGACACTCAGATTCTGTGACTTCAGAGCTCCATATCTCTTTAGCCTCTGATTTCCTGTGTTTGTGACAATGGAGAAAGTTCAGAGTCATACAAACTACAACATATTTCAGAGCCGAGCAATTTAACCAGGGTCACTATTCCATAAGAAATGGGAGGGGTTCTTTGTCATATATTAATTTTGTTATTGTTGTAGGTAATGGTTGGAAAATCATATCAGGATATGAAAGAGGACAAACCCAAGAGAGTTACGATCTTTATACTAATAATTCGATTTGGGATCATCCTATAGATTTGCATTATACAACTCAGACTCTACAAAATTCTCCGAAATTATTATTACAAGTGTTTTGCAGAGATAATTATGGAAGACTAATATTTCTTTCATATGGAGTATATAATGTCCCATTGTCACCTGGTTCTTACATTTTAGATTGTCATACATGGAAACCTATTGGTATATTTGCAATTTAAATATATAAAACTTCACAATTCTGTAGTAAAGTTCTGTAGTAGTTTATTATTATTCTCTCAATAAAACTTTTATACAGGTGCTTGGACAGACAAACTATATGATAGATTCTTAGGAAAAAGTTTACAATTAAAGTCACCTAGTGTTTTAATCAACACATTAGACAGGTTTGAAGTATTAACACAAAGTATGGGAACAGTGATTGTTCATTTACATATCTTGGCAAGAAATTTTAATAAATTTGGATGTCAGTTGTAAACGGACAATTGTAAAAACAATAAAAATTGGATACACAATTTATCTTTAATTAGAAAGTCTACAAGAAGACTCTAATTTTGAGCGAATATTTATATCAATATAATATATAAACAACAATTTCCAATGATGTTTTTTCTTCTGTTGCTATTTCTAGCATATATTAATATGGTAGAAATAACCAAAATTGAAGATATATCAATCTGTATAAATGACACAGATTGCAACGAGTCAATAGACTCAACCATATATATACAGATTCCTAAAGTTGATGATCCATCTTTAGAAGACTTATCAAATGAGACAGAAGAAGAGGTTAATATTATCACTACTCCCATTCCTACAGAGATATCTTCAAGAATAAATGCAACAGAACAATCAGAAGTACAATCAACTTTAACAACTATATCTTTACCATCTTCAACAACGATTTCCTCATCAACTATGTATTCAAATGATAATGAAATTCTTGCACTCAAAGAACAAGAGATATGCGAGTGCGACTTGACGGTATGTGCAAGTGTCATTTTTTGATACAAAATATTGAATTTTGTTGAATAAAAGAAAACAATTATTTAATATTTGAATTATAACATTCCCACATAGCAAAAAAATCTCCATAGGATGATCTGATTTGATCCCATTTTGATCCAAACTAAAAAATCATTCGTAGGATTACTTAAGAGTATCCAATATAATATTACATATAATTTAGTCGATATTGTTGGGATCTAATTTTGTTATATAATTATATCCTAGGGATGTAATTATAAGATATCCATTGTAGATATTGTACAGAATATCTTATAAGTGGACATATAGGCATCCTCGGTACATCTTAAGTATATTTCTAGGTATTATGGAGATAAACCCTGGATATCTGGAAATCTCTCGAGATTGTTATGTGAGATTGTTATAATTCATATTAATAAATTTGATTAAATATTTTAATTTTTTAAAATATATATAAACAGATATATTGAATAATAGAATATATAGTTATTACATATATATTATATTTTATAAACACATTTTTTCATTTTTTTCATACAGAAATTTTTATGTGACATCAATTGCTGCTGTGACATAGATTGCAATCATTTTCACTTATCTGCCTTTTCGTATTGTCAAAATTATCATATGGAGCTGTATGACAGTCGGTATTGCTATAACCAAAATTTTATACAACGAAATAACACATCTTTTATTTTTGAAAAACTTGGAAATAATTTGTTTTGCATCCTGTATGACAATCTTCCATCTATGTATAGTACTGACAACGATTTGGTAAGTAAGTTAAGTGTAATGAAACTGTTAAATATCATTTTCCAATTAATTTTATAATTAAATAATTTAACTAATTCTATAATTTAATAGAAAATGGTTTTTAGAATATTATATTATTTAATTTCTTAGCTGTAAAAAACGTATACGTACGCTCTGAGAAGCTTCTTACTTACTAGAAAAGATACAACAAATGATTTCCAATTAGAGAGTATTCGAATTAAAAGTAGAAAGGGTTGTCTTATGTCCCCTCGTTTGCGAGAAAACTATCAAGAGACTCGAAGGACCAGAGGGAGAGTATTAGAGTTTTCCCTCGCCTTTAGAGGCGCGAAAAAGCGAAAAGCGAAGCGAACAAATTAAAAGGTGACTCACCGCCCGGCATATACCTTGTGTTCCGTTTGGCAAGGCCTGGTAATCTTCTGCATCCGCGATATTAAGCAGCAAACAAGCAGTTAATAGGCAGCAAAACAATAAAACAGGCAGGCAAAACTATACAGCAAGCAGGCAGGCCTTTCGTGCTAGCACCGGGTCGTTGCGTGTGAGTGTCGTCTCAATTGAGCACTTCCACTTTGAGTCTCGGACTTATGTCTCCGAGGACTGAGTTCCAAAGGTGAGTCTCGGACTTGTGGCTCCGAGGACTCGTCGATCTTAACTGAGTTCCCAAAAATGAGCCTCGGACTTGTGGCTCCGAGGTCTCGTCGTTTTTAACTGGGTTTCCGAAGCGATCCTGCAAGCGTGGTCGCGAGCGAGTAATCGGCTCCTTATCGCTACCGTCGGCGGATGGAGCGATGGCAGCACCAATGAGTCACGCGTATCTCAATCGAAGTTATCAATCGCGATCTGCCAACGTTTCACGAGATAATAAATGCACATGACAACGAACTTATCAACTAATGCTTACTAACATGCTTGCTAACTATTTACAAAGCAGTACCAAACAAAAAGATTAGAAGAAAACTAAAGATTTCAATGTCTTTGTTAAATGTCTTTAGACATTAACGAAACAATTTTATCACAAATTAGATCTTATACATTTTCAATATTTTTGTTCTCAAACAAAAATTTAAAATATTAAAGGCATCCAAACAAAACAGTTCAAAAATTGTGGTTTTTTTCAAGAAGAGGACGGCTATATTCAGCAGAAGTCAGTATTTAATTAAGCGCCTTGCACTGCAGGCTGGTTTCTTATATTAAACGCGTGAGGATTTTTAATTACTTTAAAAGTACGCCGCGTGGCGGCAGCGCGTGTTACTAACGTCATCGGTAGATTGAGTCAAATTGAGTTTCTATAAGGTGAGTTATTTAATCGACGCAAATATCTCGAAAAATATAAAAGATATGAAAAAATGTTTCGGACAAAAAATGTATAATCTAAAGGAGGACACATGATTCCGATATAAGTTACAACCCGATTTCCCTCGGTCTCGCTGGCCGAAGGGGCGCGGTTGCAAATTAATCAACTAATTGCCAGACGATATCTCCAAGGGGATAACGAGGTCGAATCTCTTACCGTAACTTCCATACCTAAGATCTTGGGCGGTACCTTTCGATTGGGCGCCAGGTGCGATTATAGACGCGCACCACGTCTCGACAACGTCCGCCTCAATAGCCTCGTCGCGGGCTCAGGGCGTAGTTCCGCGTGACAAGGGTGGAGGTGGAGAAGGAGCGACACGCAAAATAAAGCTCGATAATAAACAATACTAACCAAATATATTTCACAAAGAACAGATAAAAATCATAGCGGGAATTCAGTACGCAACACTAAGCAATAATGTGCTTGCAAGATTCTTTGCCGAGCAAACGCGACGATATTTGCCCGCGTACGCGACGCAAAATATCCGCGAAGCTCTTGAGGCACCGCAATGTACCCGGCGCGGTCTCTCCCGACACGCACACGGTGCTCCCGCGCACGGCAAGCAACAATATACTCGAATACAACCGAATTGACTGTCGATCACACGAGCTTCGAGGAGGGCTTTCCGAAATATTCCTGGCTACGATCTCGGTCGGCCACGCGCCCGCGGTCTTGGATAATAGCCGCGATAAGCTAACCGGCATCCACGACGACAGGTCGCGACCGAGATCAAGCCCTCAATTACTTGGCAGCACCGGAGTGGAGATCTCGTCAGCGGCTGATTCAACAGTCAGGAGTGGTGGGTGGGTTCGGCAGGACCACGCCGGGCCCCTGCACGCGCGCGCCCTCAAGCTCGCGGTTTTTCCGCCCCGCCGATTGGTCGTGTGTGTCGCCCTGTTCGCGACGTTGCAGACGATTTCTGCCATTTTCCCGCGGCCCGTTTGATTTGGCTGCTGAGTGTGCTTGGGCCACTCGCGGTTTCCCGTCCGGCTGGCCAGGCCGTGGCGGCGCCGCTCGGCCCTCTGGGCGCCATCGGGTGAAGTGTACAGGTCGTCCACCCGCGCTACAGTCGCGGTGGTGCACCCGTGATTATGCTGCGGCGGGGCCGTGTCGTGCTGTGCGAGACATTTCCGGCGCTTCTCCAGCGGCAAGCCCCGGTAGCCCGCCCGTCGGCCGACCACTTCGCCGTACGTCTTTTGAGCGCCCGTCCTTCTCTTGTCGCAACTCTTGTCGTTACATGTGGTCAGTGATCCCCCGCTCCGGCACCACCTGTCATTCCTACGGAACTTAACTAAAAAGGTTAGTCAACGCAGACAGCCCTTCCTCGACCCGAGTCAAGGCGCCATCCCCGACCTTCCCCTCGGCCGAGCTACCGTCTGGGCGGAGGACGCGACAAATGTCACATTACAGAGTCGTGTCGTAGATATCGTCGTTTTCAAAAAATTTCAAAGGAGACTAATTTTTAAAGTAAAACTTGATTTTTTTCCTGGAAATAAAAGTTGTAGAGCTCGACAAAACGTTTTCAAAACACTATAATAAAGTCATCTTTTGTTATATATATATATATATATATATATATATATATATATATATAAGAATTTCTTAAGATATTTAAAATTTTTAAAATTTGAAGTATAGGCTCCAATGGAAATCCACGAATATAAAAAACATGCGAACTAAGAACCAAGTGCGGTAAATGATGCGCGAAAGTTTTATTTTTATTTCTATTTTACTTATCTTCCAACCTTGACTGCGCGCCGACTAAATTTGTCAGACTTGAAACACAGCTCCGGTTGGAGTAGTAAAATCTCCCCCTACACCTAATTAAATCGAATTGATTTAATAAGAAATCATTCCAAAAAATATTACCTCAGCCAGGGTTCGAACCTGGAATCTCCTTCATTCCGTGAAGGTGTCGTGCCAATTCGACCACTGAGGCATGTGGTAATATTTATCGCAATAACCTATTATTAGTCCCGTCCCCTAACCTAAATTCCGGCACTCGTTCTTGCGCACTATAATTTACAATTGCATAATTAATTACTGAGCATCCTCTTGCACCCACATACGTATATTCCAATCCCCCTCTGTACATCCATACAAAAAATACCATTCTTTTTCATTTATCATGTCCACGAAGGACGGACTTCCTAGATGACGGTCTCGAGAGTTTCTGCGATCGTCGTCATTGCCATCGCTTCCGCGGCATTCCACTGGGGTATCTCCACCCGGAGTCTCTTCCTCGTAGCCATGGGTATGCTCATTGTCGTCCGTCCTATCCCGGACAAACCCCTAAATTTTACGGTCGTCGCGCGTCCGCTGCACTTCCTCACTCTAACACTCACGCGCGACGCGTTCCCGACACTCTCACAAGAAAAAATGACTCAGTTTAAAAAAAAAGAACTCGTTTATTATATCGTTCAATACAACGAGAGACTCATGCAAACACGTCCGGTCAAAACGGAATTCCGGAGCCAAATCTGAACATCGTTATCTGTCAACAATCGTCTGCAGCCGGCGCTGGTAATGTTGACTTTATAGTTTTTGCGTACAATTGTATTTACGGAGAGTAAGTTTGCAGCTAACCCTGGAACATATAACACATTTTCGACACGAAGATTCTTTCGGCCTCGTTTACCGTGACCTTGACTTCTGCCGTTCCGCGAGCCGTTGCCTTCACTTGACCATTATTTGCCGCCATTATGGTCTTGTTGTACCTCTTCACCTTCTTCAGACAGCTTGCCCAGCCCGTCATGTGTGTCGATGTGCCAGAGTCAAGGTACCAAGCTTTGCTCCTTTTCGTCCGCGTGGTGAATGTTGCGAATAATGCGAATACCTTCTGTGTCGGACTGTTCTTTTCCTTGGCGTCATCTCTCGCTTTGTTACGACACTTGGCTGCAAAATGTCCTGTTTTGCCACATGCGTAGCATCGAATCTTCCCCTTCTCTTGCCCTTTCTTACGTGTCGCTTTCGCTTTTGAATATAATGCTTCTTCGGTCTCTGTTTCGTACAAACTCGCGCAGGAGCCTAGGCTCTAGATTTAAAGAAAGGGAAACGACATTACTTTCATAGTTCCGTCGGTAAAGAGATTGTGTATTTCAAGGTTAGTCGTATTTCAATTTCGGATTATTTTATAATAAACAAATATGTCGTAGAAGAAAGTGTTGTACAGAGAACACATTGCATAAATACAAAATAAGAAAATGATGAATTATTAATGAATAATCCTTCCTTATATATGTTTCAATATTTTGATCTCTTGTGAGAAATTATTATAAGTAAACAGAATTCCTGTATGCTTATCTCTCGATAGGAGAAAACAATCTAATGCTTTCCAGACTTAAATCTTCTTTAAGAAAGGATCATTCATATTAAACATATTATTCAAAACGCAAAATACATAAAAGTGGCAATAATATACAAAGCATAAGTATAATTGAAGTACTGTGTCAATTAGCAATAGGTAAGAAATAATTCTTATATATTTCTCTCTCTCTCTCTCTCGACAGGTAATTAAGAACATACATACATCAAACACAAACGAAAGAATGATTATGCTTATACAGTCTATTGTGCTTGGTTTTACAAGTCAAATATAACGTACTTTTTATATCAATTGACACAGTAACTTCCGCAGTAAATCGAGTTA